ACTAGATAAGCTGAGTACTTTACAAATGTATATTGGGTGTTTGTATTTCTTCTACAAACAGACTATCCATATTTATGAGATGGATTTTCCCTGTTGCCCAGAAGCTGAAGTCAGACATTGTTCAATATTGGTGACTTATCCTCCAGAATACAGAATGATTACCATGATGTCAAATGTTTGTAAACATTCCCTTAAGTGCAACCATTAAGAGGTGTATTTATCTAAGTTCTTCCTGAACAGTGATCTGATCTGAGTATAAAAGTACAATGGCCCTGCACAAAACCAATTTCCTTGATCCAGTAAGACCCTACCTGTTGAAGAGTCAGAGACAAAGAAAACTCCATGGAGATGAGAAGCCGCACCTGCTCCTGGCTGTGGGACCACTTCACGGTCACTAACGTCTGTCTTTGCCCAAATCAAATTATTGGTATTCGATGTGCTCTTCCTGCCAGTCTTTAGCCACCTAAAGTGATGCAATATATACTTTGTCCCACTTCTACTCTATTTCTTTTCTTTTACTGATTTGTACTAGGAATATTAATTTTTCACATCATGCAAGTTTTATTTTTTCACAATCTATCATCTTTTAAATCTGTAATATCTTTGGATGTGTTGAACTTTTATGTATCAGATGTGCAAACTTTTCAAAAACTTTATGGCTTATTAAAATAATCCCCTATACGTATATATTTTTTGTTCACAATTTTGTTTCAATGAAATGACATCTTAAATAAGGTTTTAAATAAAAGATCTTTTTTCCCCAAATGGCTAGCCACTTGGACTAAAAAATAGTCATTTCCCTCACTGACATAAAATGCTACAGATAGCATGTATTATTGAAATTTTATATCTGGTTGTAGTTTCTTCCAATGATTGATCTATTTCTGCATTAATACCATACTCCTTATATTGTGGCTTTATATGTTCTATAACGTACTATGTCAAGTCTCCCATCATAATACTTTAAAAGTTTACTATTTTTGTGAATTTTCTTTTCCAAATCTTTTATATCAACTGGACAAGTTCTTTAAACTCTTATTGAAATTTTTATTCAGATTGCACTTTTATAGAAAAAAATGGCAGTCATCTTTATAATATTTATTCCCATTCAAGAATATTGTTTAGTTTCTCGTTATTCATCTTTTTTTGTCCTTCAGCAAATGTTACTTTTGTTCATATATATCTTGCATACTCTTTTTAAACTTATACCTGGATAGTTTATATGCATTTCATTTTCTGATTTGTGTATTTGTATGTGTTGCAAACTGATTAGTAAATTATTTAACTAGTAATTTTGCATGTTTATCTTGAACTCTGTCACTTCACTGAACTCTCCTAGCAGTTCTAGTTTTTTAGTTTCTGGGTTGTATTTTTCAGTAGACAATCTTATACCTTGTAAATAATGTTCTGTCGTTTTCATTCCCAATATTTCTATCTCATGTGCTAAGCCCCAGAGAACAATGTTTTAGAACTGAAGTGGTAGCTGACATTCTTGACTCATTCCAGACCTTAATGAGAATACAGAAACCAAACAATAGCCAAACAATATGAATTGTGGCGTAATGCAATTGACGACTGTTTCCTACCCTCTGAATTTCACTTATTTCATTAACCTCACAACCACCCATTTTACCCAAATGAAACTTTTTACCCCACCTATGGCATTATGGATGTTACTGCACTCCGATGTTTCATTACAAATGATTCTGATAATTTTCTAAGTACACATCAAGTTAATAGTTTCTTTCTCCACGTTTTTAAATTTTTGAATTGTTATCAAATACATCTTCAAGGCATGCTTTTTTCTCTCAACCTATAAAACATGCATGTGTACACAAGAATGCATTATTCCTTTAATATATTGCTGGACTTGGGTCAGCCGAGTGGTGCATTGGTTAGTTCACCTGGGACGCCAGCTCTGAGCATCAAGGCCCCGGTTCGGATCGCACATATGAGGGCCAGTGACACTGCCCTCTACAGCTAAGATGCTGAACAACAGCTCTATTTGGAGCTGGGCTGCCATGAGTCGCCAGCAACAGCGTAGGCTGCAGTGGGGCTGGCCGGCAGCTGGAGTAAGCTTTAGTGAGCTGCTGTGAGCAGCCATCCAATGGCCGGCGGGTGACTGCTTCACACAGGAAGAGCGCAATGATACCAACATGGGCCAGTGAAGCGATGTCCTCCATAACTAGATTGAAGAACAAAAGGACAGCAACTTGTCTGTTCCCCTCCCCCAATCAAATCTTAAAAATATATATTTTTATATATGTACATATATATGTATATGTATATTTTGCTGGACTTAATTTACTATTTTAGTATTTAGTATTTAGTATTTACTATTTTACTATTTAGTATTTAGGATTTTATAACTTTGTGAGAATTGTCTCCAGTAGGTTTTGTTTTTGGTAGTATTCTCTCCAGGTTTAGGCAGTAGAGATATAATTTTTTTTTTTAAGATTTTTATTGGGGAATTGGGGGAAGGGGAACAGACAAGTTGCTGTTGTTTTGTTCTTCAGTCTAGTTGTGGAGGACGTTGC